AAGGCTGGGGTGATGTGGAGGTAGGATATGTTGCAGTATTGTTTGGCCTTAATGCAAGTCGGGTAGGAGGTTGAGATGGTGTAACAGAGGATGCGAGAGAGTTGTCAGTCTAGGTTAGGTGGTTGTTCTTTGTGTACGCCACCGGATGCATGGGATGGTAGTTTGCATCAGGCCTCCGGAGCGAAGTGTTTCGTGTAAGCCGCTAACCTGAATGCTGAAACGACTGGGACTATGTGGTGAGCAGCAAGATGATGTTGTGCTCGTCAACATCTCAAATCCAACACCTGTTTCGGCACCAATAATACCTCTAAAGGCTCAGAAGTCCTACTATTCACGCCTGTGATACCGGTAGCAGTCGCGGGGGCCGAGTCTGGCCGTCGGTGGTTCTGTAAATACCGGTAGGTACCGTAAAAACTAAAATAATAGAAGTATGTGCTATGAGGTTGGATTAGAGCGAGTGAGTCAAAAAAAGGGGCAAGTTAATCTCTTAGGTATATTTTTATATTTTCACATAACGCCGTTTCAGCTTACTCATACTCTGAGTCAACAACATAGTATCATTGCCACAATACAGGCTATGCAGTGGAAAGAATATATAAAATACTAGTACATACTTAAATACATTAATAGAAGATGTAAATTCTATATTTGTCAAAATACATTTCTCTTAAGCCTTTATTTTTTTCTACTTATTCTTTCTTCTACATAAATAATATATCACTAAAACAGAAAAAAATCTGTGGCTAAATAAAAGTTCAACCAATATTACAATCCTGATAACCAGGTCAGTTCTATGTAGGCATTAAAAAAATTAAAAAAAACAGAAGCCAAGTAAAATCTATAGGAGAGGTACTTTATAATGAGTAGAGGAAATCAAGCAATTCTTATCAGTTCTGTACAATATGTAACTTGAACTGGTATTTAGTTCAAAGATTTTGTTTTATGTTTTATTTTACTTGTAGTTTTAGGTATTCTTTAATACTCTGTTTGTTTTACTTCAAGTTGTGGTTTCATAATATTATATTCTTTAATACTTCGATTATTAAATTATTGAAGCCATTTTCCCAACACTTGTGATTGGATTTTAACCACTGACCTCTCTGAACGCCCAAGTAAACCCCGGCGAGGTGCGCCCGCCTAACTAGCGTCTATGCCCATTGCTTACTCACATTTAGTCAAGGTTTAATAGGAGCACGGGACAGTACAGCAAGGTAGCCCGAAACCAGAGGGTTTAAATATTGTCTTGCCTAGAATGAGTGGAGCTTTGAAAATATCGCCTCGACATGCTCGGTTGTCAGCGTGATATCATACCTTGCTAATAATGCCGAACACGTTCAGCGTTGTTAAAAAGTAGAGTATGATACGGTATCATAGTCAAGTCTAAAAAGGCCCACACTGTTTGTGGGGTTCATGTCTTGGCGCGGCGTCAGAGGAGAGCCCTGAGCCACACCTCAACCACGAAGCCTTTCTTCCAACTTCAACTGCTTCAAGATCCCCCGGGCTCCATCTGTCTGTTCTGCTCCGGCTTTTCACCCTACAAATCCACCACACATACTAATCATCGACATGGTACTTGATATTCCCCACCCATTGCACTTCATGCTCGGCAATCTTATTAACCGTAAATAAAGCTACTTCTCGAATATCACAACTTACTACTAAAGTCAATCCTGACGGAGCGATTCAATAGGTGCGAAATATTATTCCCCGATTACCCCCCCGGAAAGAGAAAGCTAATTTGGTGCGGATACAGTGCAACTGCAGCCTCAATCGATCAGGTCATCTCCGACTTTGACGGAGTAACATTCCACATTTCCACTCCGGAGACCAAGTCCAAGATACTTGTTTCCATCTCTGTTAAATGCTATCCAGATCTCCTCCAGCATGGAGCTCAGCAGGTCCTCGAACGAGAGTACGGACAATACATCACGGAAACGGAGAGCGGATATGATTTTTCCTTGATGGTTGATTTGGAAAATCTCCCGGCAGAACCAGGTCCCCCTCCTTCATCCCTCTCTGATTGGTTGTGATGGTTGTGGTAAGTGATTACTGACGGATGTGGAGGGAGGAGGAGTTTGCAGAAGCTAAAGAGGACCTAATTCGCCGCATATCGCTGTTGAAACGTAATACTATGGCGGCACCTTTCGAAAAGGCTATCGATGAGCACCACCGTCTTGCAGAAGCCTCCAAAGGATTCAATCCTGAGAATGCACCTACAGGGGAGGGGACCGAGGTTATGGTTATCCGATATAGAGAAGAGGAAGCGATGTATATTCAAGCATCGCACGATCGCGTTACAGTTATTTTTAGTACGGTATTTAGGGAGGAGACGGATAGGATATTCGGGAAGGTGTTCCTGTCGGTGCGTTTTGGAATAACTTTCCACTGGGATTCACTGGGCCGGCTGTGGGAATTATTGATGCCAATTCTATCTTTAGGAGTTTGTGGATGCTCGGCGACGGGCTATCCAGAATGCGCCTCAGGTTCTTTACCGAAACGACCCGCCGTTGGAGATTCGCAATATTCCGGGTGTGAAGGATGATGGGACTGGAGATATTGGATATATTACATTTGGTAAACTCTCTACAATAGTTTATTGGGGGGTTTGTGGCGTTAATTGACTACAGTCCTCTTCCCCCGCCATCTCACCCCTCAACGAAGGGAAGAATCCATCTCCCACATCCAGACATTCCGTGATTACTTCCACTACCACATCAAGGCTGCAAAGGTACCTCAATCCCGGTATACCTGCCTACATACAAGATTAGTTTGTAGCTCACGAAACTAGGCATACATGCATTCTAGAATGCGCCGCCGCGTGGCGGACTTCCTTAAGGTCCTCAACAGAGCCAAGCCCGAAGTCGAGGAATCAGAGAAGAAAGAGAAGAAGACTGCCAGCGGAAGGAGCTTCCGTGTCCAAACCTAGATTTTGTAAGCCTTTTTTTCTCCTAGTTTTAATGATCACGTAGCCTTTTGCCCCTTGATATGCGGACGTGATTGGGGGGTGGACTGGGAAGACAAGGCAAAAGATAATTTAGGGTTTTTTTTGTAAAAATAAAATAAAAAACAAGTGGCGGTTTGGTGGAGTGAATGATATGAACGGCCTGGACATTGCCACAGGGCAAACATGCCATTTCGTGCACTAAAGTTTGGAAATAACCCAATCACATGGAGCCGGCATTATCACTTACAATCGGTCTAGCAGGAAATTAAACCCTTTGCACGTCTGGACTTTGGAGGGCTGGGCGGAAAGGCCGTGTGCTGTTTGGCCTTTTCCAGCGGTCTACGGTATCTACAGCGCCCGGCTTTTAAGTTCGATTCTATTCAAGTGCCCGAAAGCCCCGTCGTGTAGCCGCATCCGTAGAGTTCACATACCCCTCCAAGTGCCACCGCTATGTAGCACCTGGGGCCGCTTCGTCAGTCTTCTCCTTCTATTGTCCAGTAAGAAATAGATCGTAATAAATGTTTACGAAATTACGATGTCCCCAGGGACATATCCAAAAACGATTACATATAAGGCTCTTGTCCTGCTGTTGTCTACGGGTATTGTTCTTGAGGTACGGGGTACGGGAAGGGGCATGAGAACCTTGCGGATGTGGCTGCGCTCTATGCTGCCTTGGGGGGGGGGAAGGTTGTCAAGAGGGGAAAGAATTTTCCGAGTGATCCTATGTGGAAACCCATTTCTTAGCCAACAAGCTAGTGCGTATCGCCACTAATGCTTAATTATTAACGCTTTATGACACCATATCGAGTTGGGTTGTGTCTGCAGGGAAATCTTGGCCAACTTGGGTAAACAGCGTGAGGGAGTTAGCCCTGAAAGCTGGCAAGGTGGGGGGGGGGGGTAAGATTACGAGTACCGGAGTGGAAGAAGAATGAGGCGTGGAAAGCCATGAGTTTAGATCCGATCTTTAACTCTCGGATGACAATGTGACTAAGCAGGGGAAAGGGGGGAAGGGGGGGGGGGTGATTTAGCTGCAGGAATATATGTACTCGTACATGCAGAAGTTACAGTGAGTGGAGACATATGTACACACAGGGACGATTCAGTCACGGAAGTCACACCATGGCCTTTATTTCTTATCTGCCGTACGCTCTTGCTCGATCTAACTGCTTTTACTCAGCGTACTGGCCTCCTTGGCGGATGTGACGATCCTAAAAATTGGGTGCGGGTATCCGAATTTCGACCGGAAATCATTCTTCACGTCCATATCAAGCCCTCGATATCAACCCTCCTGAACCTGCTGATGTGACTAGAGAGTGGGGAGAAATGCCAAAGGAGGGCTATGTCATCAGGCCCGACGCAGATCATCTCGGCGTCAATTATTTCACCTTCTTTCCAGATTAGACCCCCGCAAATCAAGAGTAGCGACTTAGGGGGAGGAGGGGTAAGGGGGGGGGCGGGGGGGGACTTGCTACTCTCGAATTGATGAGAAGCGATTTGGGCCTTCGCTGAAATAACCTTAGCACCGGGCCACTCCCTCTCATCAGCTATGCGAGTAACAGCTTTCAGATCGTCAACAACAAAGGTGATTTCCCCACAGGGAACATTGAGATCACCAGTAATCTTCACAGCCTTGAGCTTCGTTGGTGTCTCTTGATGAAATAGGATGAACTCGCAGCCATGGGAGTTGTAGTCGCCAACCCAGATGCCTCTATATGGGTGGTCATTATCAGGTGTATAATGCTCTTCACGGATGGTGGCGAAAGTTTCTACTTGATTGTCTATGCCGTTTCTGGACATGGCAACGCTGGGCACGGGTGCTCCGCCGAACACTACCCACTTGCGAATGCGAAAGACAGAATCGATAGCGTCTGTGTGGGCTGGTTTGTTCTCGTGGGAGCCGTTGACGCAGCTAAGCACGTCGTCGGTGCGCTCGGTCGCGGGAATGTGGGGCGGAGGCCAATACTTCTTGGAAGATAGCTGTACTTCGGGAGGCACCGCGCTGGCCCGGAAAAGTGAGCAGTACGATAATCGTTCGCGTGTTGGGGGCTTGATCTCGTTGTCGTTTGGGTCGAGGACTGTGTCTTTGTCAAAGGACAATAGTGGAGGTGCCCAGAGAGACACTTGCGGATCAAAGCTTGATACAAAGATGCTCTCATTGCGACTCCAAGGGACCGAGTCTTCTCCATCGTTACTTCCGGGCCGTGTTGCGACAACGTTGGTCAAATCTATAGCACCCGTCTCCAAATTGTACGTAGAAAGGAGAATGTAGCCTGTCCACGAACGGTTGCTCATCCATATCTTGCCATGTAGCCAAAGATGATCTCTCAATGACGCGTAGAGGTCGTGGAATCTGGCATAGGGGGTTGGAGATTTCAGACGGAGGCTTGAAGCTTGCCGAGCCCAGAGGTAGTCTGGTGCAGAGGGGTCTGATGGGTCGATGAGCTCTCTCCAATGAGAGCAGACCGCACTGCACCGTGCGAGAGAAATGCCATCCAGGTTCTGAAATATCAATTGCACAACCTCTGAGAAATTGATCAGTATCTGTGCAGGAACATGAGGCAAATCTGGTGATTGAGATGGAGGGCAGGAAGAGGGGAGGGGATGAGGGGTAACTGTTTCATAGCTACCATTAGGGCACGATTGAATGCCAGTGGGATTGGCCTTCTCATCCGAGGAGGCCATGGGAGCTGTGGGGTGGGGGGAGGCGGGGCGAATGGTGCAGAGTGGATTACTAGAATTCCAGTTCCTTGGGGGGAGAGTGTGATGTACTCGAGCACTCGTATAGTTGGGGGAAGAAGGCCGCGGACAAGAGGGATAGAAAGGAATGGGGGGGACGGCACAGATATTCGGAGACAAGCACGATACCGGCACCGCGAAGAGCTGTGACGAGCTGTGAGATAGATACAGCAGCCGTACCGATACCAGGGTACAGGTGCTATCGGGCGGACTGGATAAAGATTGGCGGGGACAAGTGGTTTAATTGCCCGGGTACGAGTGCAGTAGACTACCGGCACCCAAAGCCAACAGGTGGAAGGAAGAATTAAAGATGTTGTTAGGAGACTAATTGAGATTAGTGTGATTGGGGGATCCGATATAAGAAAACTATCAACCCTTATGAGACCGATGATGTAACGCTCAGGGTGTTGCCAATTTGAAGAAATATTTCTCAGCTTTATTACTCGTAAATACATCTTATTAACCACAACCCAGCTACCAATTTTGAATGGTTGCTAAATCCCTAGAAAATGGTTGGGCTAAGTCCAGGGAGCGATTCCTCTCTTGTTCTGTACCCTAGGGGCCATTGTGCCGAACTACGGTATATAGCTAAATCCCCCTAACATGGTTGCGCCGTCTTACGAGTAGTAGGGAGATTCAAGGCTCTCGGTATGATACACAGAAGGTACAGGTGTTTCGGTAGAGGTGTATTCTTTTGGAAATTACGGTTCACCGCTACTGACACAAGGACGATACTGTATGCTTCATACTCGCACAGCTCCCCAACGCTCACTCTGCCACCGGTACCTGGCAGACTACCGGTATGTCGGGCTTGAACTCTAATCCTGATTTTGATGGACCGGACGCCTCTGTTTCTCCGGTTTTGACCCCGGAGGAGCTAAACTCAGCTCTCAAAAGTATTGTCCCATAACCCGTTTTCCCGCAAAAGTCTGTATATTCATTAGCTGAAAAAGTAATAAAAGAAAATTATCTAAAATTATTCAAAATTGTTAAAAGTAGGTATTTAAAAGGAAAATCACTTTATGATTCTCATTTATTCTATCTATTTATTTCACAAAGCTGGTATTTATCTTTTATCCAATTGTTGATACTCAGTGCCAAGCTCCCATACAAATTTGGTTAACTTTGGTGGAGATTTGCTTTTCATCATACTGTACAAGGGTAGATCATGAATTGATGGTACAGAGCAGGGGATCAGAGGTTGGAGAGAAGTGGTACGGCGCTTATTAAGTATGTACCATAATTTTGTCCAAATCAGAGCTATTGAATTCAGCAGAGTAACAAATATATCATGATCATAGTTAGACGTTACTGATTATCCTTCATTTCCTGTTTTTCCTGTCCCAATCATACCATAGAAACTGGAAGAGAGTAAAAAAATGAGATCACTTCATCTCTGCCTTCTCCCATCTGCCTGCCCGGCCTTTCAGAAACAAATAATAGAAACACAAATCCTATATGTCTTGCCCACCAGCATAGAATATGAAAGAAACAATCCAATACACTGTTCCTACTCATAGCAAATCACAAAACAACATATCTGATAACCGCATATATCCTAAACCTTCAAACCATATGAAATGCACGACTCCAGAAAGTACTTCACATATCCTCACACTACCGGAATGAAGAAATCCACCACACCATGCCCGCCATCCCTACAATCAGCAACCGGCCTGGGCCTCTCCTAACTTGAATAAGAGAAAGGATCAGAGAAGGAGATCAGAAGGGGATAAGGAAAAGAACAAGACCAGAAAGAAAAAATGAAAGCGGAAGAGAGAGGAGGACTAAGAGATGGGGAAGAACGGAGAGAGAGAGAGACTCGGAGAGAGAGAGAGAGAGAGAGAGGAGAGAGAGAGAGAGAGAGAGAG